AATCGCCATAGCCATGGAGGAGAGACAAACGCTCACAGTTCGAATCACAAATATCCCACAAACCGCCATAGCCAAAGAACTCTTCACCTTCCTCGAATCCACATTGGGAAAAGGCACGATCTTTGCCTGTGAAATCTTCACTGAGTACAGTGACTGGAAGTCCAGAGGCCATGGAAGGGTCCAGTTTGACACCCAAGAAGCCAAGAATAATGCCTTATCACTCTCCCAACAAAGGAAGCTCTTTTTTAGAGGGGTCTACCTCGCGCTCTCTCTGGCTTTTGATGACGTCATCAGCAGGCCATTGGATCCTAGAAATAGGGTTGAAGATGGTAACGAAGTGACCCTTTTTGCTGGGGTGATGATCAGAGGGGACTGTTTGGGGATTTTGGAGTTTTGGCATTGTGTGAAATTGTGGGTTGTGCCTGAGAGGAAGAGGCTTGAACTGTTTGTGAATCATCAAGGGGAGTGCTATAAATTGGAGGTGCAGTTTGGGGATGTTTTGGAAACTTGTGGTTGCTGTTTGGATGGGGACAAACAGGAAGTTGATGCCATTCTTTTGAAGGTATGATTTCCGTTATTCTTGTCAGATATCAGAAATACATGATGAAAAGGATTGGTGTAGTCTACCTCGAATTTTTTTTTCTTTTTTTCTATTTTTCTGAGGAGGCGGCTTAATTTGTTGCAGTGTTGTTGTTTGCGTTAGATATCAGAAAATCTTTTGATTGTTAATTGTTTCTATTTTGATGTCATTCTTTTGAAGTGCTGAGAATAAGGCTTAGTTAGTTTTTGTAGCTTTGGATATCAGAAAGTCTTGTGATTGTTCATTGTTTCTATTTTGACGCCATTTCTTTTGAAGGTGTGGTTTTTGCTTTTCATGTTAGATATCATGACAGAATGATGAAGAAGGATTTATGTAGTTAGTTTTTGTAGCTTTAGATATCAGAAAGTCTTGTGATTGTTCATTAGCTTTGCTTTTGTTTGAATTGTGGTAGCTATCAGAAAGTCTTGTGATTGTTCATTGTTTCTATTTTGATGTCTTTTCATGTTTGATGTCATTCTTCTGAAGGTATGATTTTGTCTTTTTGTGTTAGATACTAGACTGGAATGGAATGGTGAAGAAGAATTTATGTAGTCGATCCCAAATTTGTTGTGGATGAGGTTTTTTGTTTTTGTTGTGTTAGATAGCAGAAAGTCTTATGATTGTTAATTGTTTCCATTTTGATGCCTTTTCTCATTTGATGCCATTATTTTGAAGGTACAATTTTCTCTTTTCATGTTAAATATCACTATATCAGAATGGAATGAGGAGAATGAAGCTTAGTTTGTTTTTGTTGTGTTAGAGATCAGAAAGTCATGTGATTGTTATATGTCTCTGTTTTGATGACTTTCTCATTCGATGATTTTAATGTCAGCTTGTTTGTGGAATTTTTTCAATTTCTTGTAGTGTAGAATTTGGTTAAGATTTTTTTTTTTTTTTTTTTTTTTTTTTTTTA